CCCCGACCTGAAGCCACCCCCGTCTCGTTGCTCGCTCAGGTCAGCTCCCTGGATGCAGAAAGCAGCTGTCCCCAGCCGGTTCCGGCCGGTTCACGCTGGGGAAGGAGGGGCCGTGTGGAACCGAGCCCGCAGCAGAGGGAAGGAGCCGCCAGGGGCGCTGCCCAGAGGTGGGGTTTGTGTTCGATTTTGTGTTTTTGGTGCCAGTGCCCAGGCCTGAATTCCAGGCTTGACGTTCCTGGTCCGCTTTTACGACTACTACTATTAACGGCTAGTGCCTGAGCAGTCCCTTGAGCCATGTCTCCAATTTTGGCTTCTTTACTTCTTTTTAATGACTAGTTGCAGAAAAGAGTCTTCTAGGCTTTTCTGGTTGGCTTCAAATACCATCCTCAGATTCAGACTCCCGAGTACCTAGAGTTACAGGCTTGCGCCACTGACGCCGGGCTTCAGAGGTGATTTTTGAGCTGTACTCCATTAGGTGTACAGGGAAGGGCAGGTCTGTTTGGTGTGCTGAGGAACCCGGAGCTGCTTTATAAACTGCAGGTGGCACACACAAACCAATGATGCTGTGTCACAACTTACTCAGAGTGCTGTCCTGACGTCTGGGTGGAGCTGCGTGTTTTCTCCTTGTCCCCTCAGTCCAATGGATCTTTGAGATGAGGAAGGAAGTAGGAAAGTTGGGATCTTTCTGGGTGGCAGAAGAGACAAGATTTATGAAAAAACGAATGTACATACCCAGCAAATCTGTTTCCAAAAATCATGTTCTTGCTTTAGAAGATGGACAAGTGGAGCCGGGCACCGGTGGCTCACGCCTGTAATCCTAGCTACTCAGGAGGCTGAGATCTGAGGATCGCGGTTCAAAGCCAGCCCGGGCAGGAGACCGTGAGACTCCTCCAATAAACCACTAGAAAACCGGAAGTGGCGCTGTAGCTCAAGTGGTAGAGCGCTCGCCTTGAGCTGAAGAGCTGAGGGACAGCGCCCAGGCCCAGAGTTCAAGCCCCACAACCGCCAAAAAAAAAAAAAAAAGAAAGAAAATGGACAAGTGGGAAATTGCAGTTTGATAGCTGGCAACCCTTCAATTCCTTTTAAAGAAAAAGAGCTATATTTAGGCTTAGGATTGAAAATGGGGAGACAGCAAGATTAGGGTCTGAGTTCAAACTACAAGAAGGTTGTTTTTTTTTGGGAGGGGAGTGTCCAGTCATGGACCTTAACTCTGGGCCTGGGCGCTGTCCCTCAGCTCTTCACCTCAAGGCTAGCGCTCTACCACTTGAACTACAGCGCCACTTCTGGCTTTTTTTTCTTACGTGGTGCTGAGGAATCGAACCCAGGGCCTCATGCATGTAAGGCAAGCGCTCTACCACTGAGCTACCTTCCCAGCCCAAGAAGGTTTTGATTGAGCAATTGCATGTTGTTAGAGCCAACCATAAGCTGTTCACATACATGGCAATTTAATTCCACCAGGATTTTAGGTGAAAACAGGAACATTTGACTGTTGAAAGAAAAGGCAGGCTGTCAGGAACTTAGGCCTAATTTTTCTGGGATAGGTGATGGCAGAAAACAGGCAGTGGGCTGGTGGGACGCAGAACATTTGGGTGAGATCCGGCCACGTGTAGTGGCAGCTCTGCACAGGGCCCTGTGTGCCAGCCCCGACCCTTCCCTGTCATCTTTCCAGATGGCAGTGCTGACCAGATGAGAAAGAAAGTCTCCTCTTGCATTTGGCTTAATTAACCATAGTTGCAGTAAAGGAAGAAAATGTGAAGACTTAGCTCTCTTGAAGTTCCCTCTTGACATGGTAAAGAAAGACCAGTGTTGACTTGGTTGTGTTCTCCTGGAGACTAAGGAAATAGAGTCCTTGAAGTCAAGTCGACTCTGCTTTTAGCCTCCTAAAGGAAAAGGTAGATAGAACAGGTCTTGTTTGCAAAATAAATTCAAGACCTACTTATCTACCAACAGCATTTTTACACTTTCCATCGTCTTCTTATAGAAAGTACGTGTGGTGAACTTTTAGATGGGAAAGGTGGAGACAGCCAGGTGTCAGTGGCCTGAGATCTGAAGAGCAAGGTTTGAAGTCAGCTAATGAAGCAGCAGAAAAAAGCTGGGCTGCAGGTGTGGACCAAGTGGTCAAGTGCCGCCAGGAGTAGAAAAGCAGAGAGCTCTAGTCCTTTTTAGTTCAAGCTCAGATAACCACCAAAACACACACGTACACATGCGTTTGCTAGTGCTCACAAAGGTTCTGTGATTGTCTTACATACTCGCCACACACACACACACATGTACACATACGTTTGCTAGTGCTCACAAAGGTTCTGTGATTGTCTTACATACTCGCCTCACACACACACACGTACACATACGTTTGCTAGTGCTCACAAAGGTTCTGTGATTGTCTTACATACTCGCCTCACACACACACACGTACACATACGTTTGCTAGTGCTCACAAAGGTTCTGTGATTGTCTTACATACTCGCCTCACACACACACACGTACACATACGTTTGCTAGTGCTCACAAAGGTTCTGTGATTGTCTTACATACTCGCCTCCCTCTTTCTGTGTGTGGGGTGCTGGAATTTGAACTCAGGACATTTGCTCCATCACACACCAGCCCTTCTTTCCCTTTGTTAACATGAAGCGACAAGGCTGTGTAATGACTCACTCTAGAGTTTTAAGTTGGTCTGTGTAAAGCTAAGAACCGATTTTTATATTATTGGTTTTAACCGCCCGAGTCAGGTAGGGATCATCACTACAATGGTCACATTTTAAAAACTTCTGTTTTCTTTTTTGGGTCCGGTCGTGGGGCCTAAACTCTGGGCCTGGGCGCTGTCCCTCAGCTCTTCAGCTCAAGGCGAGCGCTCTATCACTTGAGCTACAGCGCCACTTCCGGTTTTCTGGTGGTTTATTGGAGATAGGAGTCTCACGGTTTCTCCTGCCCGGGCTGGCTTTGAACCGCGATCCTCAGATCTCAGCCTCCTGAGTAGCTAGGATTACAGGCGTGAGCCACCAGCGCCCGGCTTTCCAGTTTTTTTTTTTTTTTTTTGCTTATGTGGTGCTGAGGAATCGAACCCAGGGCCTCATGCATGCAAGGCAAGCGCTCTACTACTGAGCCACCTTCCCAGCCCCAAAACTTCTGTTTTCTAACAGACTTGTCAGCAAGTTTGCATGAGCACAGCCATGAGATAAACCCTTTCCTTGCTTTCAGTTTCTTTAGCTCATTCATGGTACCTTAAGGAACTGGAATACCTTACTAGAGAAAAAAAAAGTTTTTGGGGGTTGTTCTAGACTTACTTTCCTTCTTTTTCCTTCTTGCAGAAGGCAGGAGAGATGATGAAGCAGACCTGGACCAGTAAGCTGAGTAACCCCAGTGCTGCTCCAAGGGTGGACTATGTCCCCTGAGTGGACTTTCAGGTCAGGTAATTCTCAATTCTAGGCAGCTCTTTTCTTTGTAAATAAAGACATTATTAAAGTCTTACAGTGTCAGGTTTTTATCTACTTTCCCACTCGTTCATCAGCAATTACAACGTAAAGTACTGTGAAGCCTAGAAGAGCCTGGATTTACCCTTTCCCATCATGTACTAAAAATGTTTCTGAATAAGTACATGTCTGGTGGCTCACACCTATAGTCTTAGCTACTTAGGAGGCTGAGATCTGAGGATCACGGTTCAAAGCCAGCCTGGGCAGGAAAGTCTGTGAGACTCATCTCCAATTAACCACTAGAAAACCAGAAATGGTGCTGTGGCTCAGGTGGTAGAGCACTAACCTTGAGCTGAAGAGCAGAGCGTGCCCAAGCCCAGAGTTCAAGCCCACAACTGCAAAAAAAAAAAAAAAAGTACAGGTCTATTTTAGTTTAAAATTTGAGCCATTCTGTGCTGATACCTCCTATACCTTATCTTGGGGCAGCTGGTCAGCTTGGCAGGGAATGTGTGTGTGTGAAATTATCAGGGTAAGTTAATTCTTAAATCTGCTACAAACCTGTAGAGACAGTTCAGTGGGGAATGAGGGGTACCTGTTATTTTACTTACGACCTGGGCACTGTCCTTGAATTTTTTGGCTCAAGGCTAGCTCTCTACCACTTTGAACCACAGCTCCACTTCCAGGTTTTGAGTAGTTAATTGGAGAAAAGAGTTTTATGGGTCTTTTCTGCCTGGGATGGTTTTAAACTGCGATCCTCAGATCTCAGCTTCCTGAGTAGCTAGGATGACAGGTGTGAGCCACCAATGCCTGGCTTTAGATTGTTTTTAATAAAACCGTGGGTGATGAGAAGTGGGCAGGTCTGTGCTTAGAGCCATGGTGCTGGTGCTGGGAGTCAGCACTGGTTCAGGAGTGGAGCTCTTGCTCTGAGCCCGACTTGAGCCTTGGTGCACTGTGCAGGAGAATGCAGTGAGATCGCTGGGTGGTGGCGGCGAGGCCGGGGCCCAAACGCCATCTGCAGGACGCTATGCATTTGTGTTGGTGAGTGTTGGATGTGTCATAGCCCCCCAGTGCTGGGGACACGGTGGTTTTCCCTTTGAAGAGAAGCAGTGGTGGAAGATGAGGTTCTGTCCAGTGTCGCGGGGCAGGCAGCAGCTCTCCCAGGTCTTGGCTTCTGGTCTGGCCCTACAGGTTGCGGGCAGTTCCTTGTCTGCATGATCCCTGGGGTGGCTGTGTTCCCTTGGGGCGTCTTTACCCCCTGGGCACAGGTCTTTGGGAGGTGCGGGAGAGCCCTGCCACCCTCACAGCAGCAGCAGTAGGCGGATGCCAACCACACACATTTACTCAGTGTGTTTTATTTGGTGTACCTGTTACACGTGAGCTCCAGGGCAGGGTGGACAGCCTTTACGGGAGAGGCATCCTAGAGGCCTTAGGTCAGCAAGTTGGGAGCAGTGCCATGGGGAGGGGCCCAGCGCCTGGAAGGGGCGGACCAGGCCCGAGGCACTGAGGACTCAGGGCTTCCCCGTCTCCTGACAGCTTTGTCCTCAAGGGCGTCCCCAGGGGCTGTGGAAGTGTCCCAGGTGTACAGGAGCTTCTGGAGCCATCAAGACCTTTTCTCCCCCAGGCTCCTGAGGCCTCAGACTCAAAATGCTCGCATGTACACAGATGGGTGCGCTGAGCATGTGGCAGCCCTTTGGGTTCATTGAGTCCACCCCTCCTCTTTCATGGCCACCCCAGTGCCAAGTAGGTGAGGGCACATGGACCTAGCATCTGGGTCAGGTGAAAGGACTCCTGCATGCCCGTCTGCCAGATACTAACAAGCCACAAACACATGAGGCACCCAGTGCTCGAGTCCAAGGCAACCGTGGCTGGCAGAGGGTGCCAGCAAGGCCTAGCAGAAAGAGGCATGCCTGGGTGTTGAAATGCCATTACGTATCTTTAGACACCCCGGCTTTTCCAAAGAAAAACAGGGGTGCACAAACCGGTGAAGCTGACAGCTGTAGGTGTACAGGTGCTGAGAGTTGTCCGCGTTGAAGAAGGACAGCTTCGACTTCTCGTAATCTAACAGGACACCGATCTGCTTCGGTGCTACTGTTATTCTTATGTCTGGTGTTTTCCCGTTGTGCAGAAATTCATATTTGTGCCTGAAAATTCAGTGTCACAACAAAGCTTCAGAAATTCCAGTAGTAGAGCTATTCACAGAGCATTTCTTGTCAGTTCCATTCATTCCTGTGATCTATATTATGTTAAATGACTACCAAGTTAGCATGTCATTTTTAAAAACCTCTATTCTCACATTTGTCCTGAGAAACATGTTTTCTAATTCTGTTCTTGGGCAACTGCTCTACCTCAGAAACTTACATAAAGACTGGTGAGCTCATACTGCACCAAAATTAGCACAGACGGCACACGGGAAGGGCAGCAGCAAAGCCCCGGTGTGTAGATCTAGTGGGATAAAGATGATCGCCAGGGGTCCTGCCGGCCACATGGAAAGAAGAGCACTGCACCATCCGGTTATGATTCTGACCGAATAGGGCATTGCAGCTGGGGCTGGGAGCCCTACTTCCCTGGCCGGGCCCCGGGCGCGGCGTGCTTTGTGAAATGGCTGAAACCAAGGCCAGCCTGACCCTTGACCTGCAGTCCTGGGGGGGTCTGTGTGCCAGCATCTTGGTCCCAACGCCCGAGGACGCTTGGAATACGATCTGAATGTGTCAGTGAAGCCAGCCAGCCTGCCTCCATCCCGGTTCACAGGGTCTGAGCAGCCACGGGGAGCTAGAGTCCTGGAACCAGGAACGAGATCTAAGAGTCCCCTGGGAAACCTTACCCTCCTCCTGAGACGAGACTTCTCAGCGCCCTCCCTGTCCCCCTCCAGGAACTGCTGCGGGTCCGGGCTTTGCTTCCGCCTGCTGTCCTGTTTCCCTGCATGTCCACCGCTCGCTGACCCTTCCCTTCACAGCCCTCCCTGCTTCCTCTGTGCCCGCTCACACCCATTTCTAAAGGAGACCCTGACCTTCAGCCTTACTTGGGACCAGTGACAGCCTCCTGTGCAGCGTGGCGCACAGGGATTCCTGCACCTTTGGTCAGGTCCTGAGCTGTGTCAGCTCCACCCCCTTGGTGTGTGCCTGGCCACAGCACAGACAGGTTCAGATAAGCTGGGTGGAGGTCACGCACAGAACAGGACAGCGCTCACCAAGCCAGGTTGGAGCCCCACGAGCAGAGGCTGCCGGGGAGCAGCATGGAGGCTGCAGTTGGGTTTGTGGGCAATTGGTTCTAACCGTGGCCTAAGCCTGAAGGTCCCGTGACCAGCCACACTGCCCAGCCCACGTCCAAGCACACTTCGCAGCAGAAAGCCATTTTTACTCTTCCAGGCTTAGTGGAAAAGGGAGGAGCGGGGTTTCAAGTCAAGCTGCACCAAGTGACGCTGAAGCTGAGCACGAGAGAAAACCAGGGGTTTAGTGTCGGGAATGCGTCTGCGGAGCAGGACTGCCCGAGTCTGCTGTGGTGACCTTACTGTGGTGACACGATTGTGAGCAGCAAGCAGGTGACGCGGTGCGAGTAGAGCCGTGTTGGCACCTAACGAACTTCAGACATTTTTAACTTAAACTGCTCTTTCTCTTGGTGCTGGAACTTCAGGAAAAGGGGCTGGCTACAACCCCTGGCGTGCCTGAGAATATTTATACAACGTAACTTGGCTCTTGGTCACGGTAGAAGTGCAAACCTGGTTCTCAGATCTTTCTAACCTTAACCTTGGGTCCCAGAGTCCGCTTTACCTGGATGAGGAGAATGTGTGCCTCAGGCACCAGGCCTGCGGGCTTGCCCCGAGGTCCTCCTGTCTGGGGATGTCCTCAGAGGCCACGCCCACGGTGTAGTCAGAGTGTTCATCCACCTCCACCTCCCAGTAATGGCGGCCTCGGACGGGGATTAGATTTCCCATGACAGCAGCACACCTGGTTTTACAAAGTAGGAGTGAAAGCTGGGGCTGTTGCCGTGGCCTGGCCTCCAGGTTTCCTGCCACACTTCACTGTGATCTTCTGAAATGTAAATCTGGACCTGCATTAAATCATCAGACCGTCCTGGCCTCCTGGGCCTCACGTTCCCCGCGTCTGTGCTTCACCCCCCACCTCCTCCCCGACCTGACGGGCGCCCCGCTGCAGCCTACATCCCAGAGTCCCTCCTGCAGGGCCTGCCTCCCAGAGGCCACCTTCAGACTCCCCGTCCCCCCAGCCCCGCCTCCCCCCAGCCCGCTCTTCTCTCCGTGACTCAGAAGTGTGCAGAACATTCTCGGGAGCCGCGCTTTGTGTACCTGCTGAAGCGGCTCCGGCTGGGCGGTGGCTCCCGAGCTGGGGTTTTCCTTTCGTTTCGAAGCACCGTCAACCCGTCCTCAGAAATGGTCAGCGCGGGGTGGCAGGTGTCCTTGTTCAGGTGGAAGACGGTGCCTGTGGGAGAGGGGACACCGGAGACCCCCGTGGTCACTCCAGATCCCGGCCTGGGCTTGAGGCCCTGGCAGTGGCCCGTGTCCCAGGCTCGGTGGCCTTGTTCCCACCCCTCACCGACTCCACAGGCTGCACAGAGCTCAGCAGTTGACAAGTTTTGTCTTCTTCAGTCCTCACAACCACCCTTAAAATCAGGTATTTCTGTTTCTGTTTTATAGGTGAGGAACCTGAGGCAGGTGGGTGAGGAATTGGCTGGGAAACAGCAGCACTGAATTTGAACCCTGCCTCTCGCTCCAGAGGCCGGGCCCTTCCTTGGGAGCTGTAAATGCCAAACTTGGGCAAGAACTTCTACCCCTTTTCCCCAAGGGGCCCGGAATCGAACCATCGATTAGACATCGATGAACAAAATTCAATATCCAGCTCACAATTAGGGCAGCTGGGGAGAGGAAGGATTAAAATGAAGCCCACGGAAAAGTGGTTCAGCTGCTTGGAGTGGAGCACAGTGATCATGGCTAAGGCCAGCGCAGACCAAAGTTATGAGAGACCCTCATCTTAAGGAAAAAGCCAGTCTCAGTGGTCATGCTATGCCTATAATCCCAGCGGTGCATAAAGCTTGAAACGATGAAAAAGAAAGGCTGAGGGCGTCTGGCTCAAGCAATTGTGCATTTGCCTAGCAAGCATGAAGCCTTGAGTTTACATTTTTTATTTATTTTTTATTTTTGTCGGTTGTGAGGCCTGAACTCTGGGCCTGGGCGCTGTCCCTCAGCTCTTCAGCTCAAGGCTAGTGCTCTACCACTTGAGCCACAGCGCCACTTCTGGCTTTTTCTGCTTATGTGGTGCTGAGGAATGGAACCCAGGGCCTCATGCATGCAAGGCAAGCGCTCTACCACTGAGCCACCTTCCCAGCCCCAAGTGTAATTTTTAAAAAGTGATTCAGAAAAGATGTAATAAAACATCGCAGTACTGATACTGGTACTCCATTGTGTCAGCCCAGCCCTTCTTAGGTTCCCATTGGTGATGTCTCATTGTCTCAAGCTCTAGTTCAAGCATTACTTTACCATTGATGAGCAAGCAGGTGCCTTGCATTTCACACCAGGTGGCCCTCCTTGCTCCTGGGTTTTTGCTGATTGGCGTTCACTCCATTTTCCCTGTATATTGTGCACTCTAGAATACTGTATGCTCTAGAAGACCGTGCACTCTAGTATACTGTGTGCTCTAGAACACCACGCGCTCTAGTATACTGTGCACTCTAGAACACCGTGCGCTCTGGAACACCATGTGCTCTGGAACACCGCGCGCTCTGGAACAGCGTGCGCTATGGAACACCATGCGCTCTGGAACAGCGTGCGCTATGGAACACCACGCGCTCTGGAACACCGTGTGCTCTAGAACACCACACGCTCTAGAACACCATGCGCCCACGCAGAGGTGACTGAGTGATCAAGCGCTGTCTCTGCTTTTGCTCTCGGCTCCCTGGCCCTGAGCCATGGCCGACAAGCGGAGGGACGCCTTGTTCGTCCCTGTTGTGTGACCTCAGGCGCTGTGCCACTTGCCTTGCTGTAAACATGGGCCAGTTGCAGGCCCTCTCTCCCTGGCCTTGGAGTGGGGACAAAGTGGCTCCATGTCCCTCAGTGAAAGGCCCCAGCATTAAGAGGGGCTGTCCTGTGAGCCTGCTGGGCCCCCACTCTGCCCACCTTGGGTGGGTTTCTGGGAGAGGTGTGGGGAGCCCTGGCCCCACAAGGCCCCACAGCGCTCAGCACAGAGCCCGGGGTGGCGGCACTGCAGAGGGCTCTGCCTGCGCACGGCTTCTCTGACACGCTGCTGGTGATGAGGGGCCGAGCAGCACCTGCAGAGAGGGCCGGGGGCGCAGAGGGGCCATGTCGGCCTATTGCAGGGACGCTTGGGCATGGCTCTTCCTGGGGGTTTCCTGAAGATCCCTAAGGGAGGGATTCGCTTGTGGAGAGCGGGGGATGGGGGGAAGGGCAGGGGTGGCGGGCACAGGCGCAGCCCGTACACAGCACAGCTCTCTGCGGCTGCTCCACAGCACTGGGTCTGCGGGGAGTGGCCCCTTGGGGTGTGGCCCCTTGGGGTGTGGCCCGGGCACAGACCTGTCGTGTGGACCGTGGCAGGCTGGCTCCTGGCGCTGGAGCCTCCCACGTTCAGGGCACGCACGTAGATGATGTAGCGCTGCCCGGGCAGCAGCTGTATCAGGGACTCGCAGGTTGGGATGCCCACGACCGACCTGGTGTGGGGGGAGAACAGTCAGTGCTCAGGACCACCCGTGAAAGAGTTTGCTCTTCCTGCAGCAGTGGGTAAGGTGCAGGGGACATCTGGAGCCTCTGATGACACCATCATTGTGGGCTGGTCCCCTGTGTCAGGTGCTTCTAAAGCCTCAGCACAAATTGCAAAGGTGACTTGAGCCACAACAGTGGCCAGAGCCGCTGGACACCCTGCCCCACCCCGAGTGCTCAACAAGTAGAACCCCAGTGAGCTTCACAGTGGCTGGGATACAGGGTCCCACCAGCAGACAGGGAGGCTCGATGGCCGGTTCCACTTAGCGCTGAAGAGTTGGAGGCCTAGCAGCTGATGCCCAACTCTTCTGCTTCACCAGAGCCAGGGAGACCCCTGCTGCGCGGGGGCAAGCTGCTGCCAGGCACCAGCCCAGTTCCTTCCCATCCACCCTTCCAGACCTTCAGGCCCTGTGTGTGAGTGCCTCCCTCTCTCTGCGGCCAGCGGTGACCATGGCAACCAGTGGTGACCATGGCAACGGGGGGGGGGGTGGACCAGGGGAGCTACAACAGACCATCTACCACAGACAGGAGCCCAATGAGCGTCCCAGTCCTCCACCCTCCCTGCAGGGCAGGTGCGTGTGGGGTCCACTCCCGCCCCAGCAGCCCCCAAAGTCGGGCGCCCCCCCAGGGCCGCCTCCGCGCCCCTCTTTTCCTCACTCAGCAGCTCCCTCCGGCAGGAATGTCTCTTTGCCTCCCCCGTTACCACCTAGGCCTTCGGTATTTGGTGAATGAATGAAGCGAAATGTGAGGCCTACGGTGTTTCCCGGCAGCCACTTCTGAAAACTACGTGGCCTACGATGAAGCCTGGCCTGCCCCGCCCCCTCGCGCGTCTACTCCCAGACTCACTCGGTCACGCCCGAGGCCTCCGGAGTCTCTGCCAGCGTCAGCTCCACGGTGTACGAGTCCACCGGGCTCCGGTTCCCTGACTCCCAGCTGATGAGAGCAGCCCTCTCACAGCTCCTGATCTCCTCGCACCTTATCACCGGCGGAGAGGGCGCTACGTGGGGGAGAGACAGGCAGAGGGCAGTCATGGCGGCCATTCTGTTCAGTCATGGACAAATACACAAAAGACTCGACTTTCCACGGGGCCCCCCACCTATCTCTGTGGGATGCTGGGGATCGGGCTCTGCATGCCACGTACGGCAAAGTGTGGCCCATTCTACCACAGAGTCGGCCCGATGCCAGAAGGCCAGCATGCTCAAAAGCACCGCCACCCCCCAGAGGCTCCCGCGGCACAGACAGGTCTGTGAGCCTTGAAAGTGGTGCCAGGGGCCTGGCTTAAGTGGTCGAGGACCTGCCTCATCTGTGCAAGGCCTTGAGTTCAAACATCAGTACAGGAAAAGATGTGTGACCTAGTGCAGTTTTTGTTTTGAACAATCATAAGTAAGTGTCTCTGTGATATCAGGTGTGTAGATTTAGTGTATTAAAAACACTGGCCCCTGGGCTGGGAAGGTGGCTCAGTGGTAGAGCACATGCCTTGCATGCCAGAGGCCCTGGGTTCGATTCCTCAGCACCACATAAGCAAAAAGAAAAAACCCAGAAGTGGAGCTGTGAGTCAAGCGGTAGAATGCTAGCCTTGAGCTGAAGAGCTGAGGGACAGCGCCCAGGCCCAGAGTCCAGGCCCCATGACTGGACCCAAAAAAAACAAAAAAACAATAAACACTGGCCCCTGGGCTGGGCAGGTGGCTCAGTGGTAGAAGCGCTTGCCTTGCATGCATGAGGCCCTGGGTTCAATTCCTCAGCACCACATAAGCAGAAAAAAAAAAGGCCGGAAGTGGCGCTGTGGCTCAAGTGGTAGAGCGCCCGCCTTGAGCTGAAGAGCTGAGGGACAGCGCCCAGGCCCAGAGTTCAGGCCCCACAACCAGACCCCCCAAAAAAACAAACAAACAAAAAAAAACACTGGCCCGAGCCGGGCACCCATGGCTCCCGCCTGTCATCCTAGCTACTCAGGAGGCTGAGATCTGAGGATCACGGTTCAAAGCCAGCCCAGGCAGGAAAGTCTGTGACACTCTTATCTCCAACAAACCACCAGAAAACTGGAAGTGGCACTGTGGCTCAAGCGGTAGAGCGCTCACCTTGAGCTGAAGAGCTGAGGGACAGCACCCAGGCCCAGAGTTCAAGCCCCAGGACCAACCAAAAACAAACAAAAAACATTGGCCCAGTGTGGCAGTAAACAGCTGGCACTTTGGAGGTAGAAGCAGGAGGATTGAGTTTGGAGTCAGCCTGGGCTACATAGTTAGACTCTGTCTCAAACATAAATAAATAAACGAATAAATAAATAAATACAATTAAAAGAAAGGAGGAACGTCACCAGGCCCTCCTGGCCTTCCCTGTGGCCTGGACGCTGACTCCGGGTCCCCCCTGCGGAGGAGAGCGGGTTACCTGTCACGTATGTGGCGACTTCACTGCTTGGGCTGGGTCCTGCCCTGTTCTCTGCTATGACCCAGAATTCATACTGCGTATTGGGCTCAAGGTTTCGCACCGAGCAGTATGTTTCTTTGACTGTCACTGTAAATTCTGGGGGAGAAAATTCAGAGAAGAATTTAAAGTGTCTCCAACTCCCTGTGCAATCCTCAGTCCGGTGGAAGGTGCTCCCCCGCCCCGCCCCTCCCCTCCCAGCCCCTCCCCGCCCCGCCCCTCCCCTCCCAGCCCCGCCCCACCCCTCCCCTCCCAGCCCCGAGCTCTGCAGTGGGCTACTCTGGAGCATCTGTCTGTCACTGCGCTATTCCTTGAAGCCAGGCTTCCTCCGTGGCATGCTGGGACAGTGGGGCAGGGCTGGGGAAGCGGCCATCCCGGAGTCCTCCTACATCTGGGCGTGGACCCCATCAGCAGCCCCTCACCCTTCAGGGGTCTGCACACATGTCAGGATGGATCTGGCTGTGCAAGGCCTCCTCCCCCAGAGACACACACAGGCAGGGACTGTGCCAGGACAGCCCTGACACCCGGCCGCCGTGCGTGTGGTTCTCACCAGTGGCTGCCATTTGCCCTCCCGGCCACGCCACCCTGTGCCCCCACAGCTCCCTGCGGACCTTTCCCCGCGTGGTCCTTGTGGGGAGAGCCGTCCTGCGCAGGCCGGTAGCACAGCTGGTAGCGCTCCACCGTGTCGTCGGAGTGCAAGCTCCAGCACACCCGGACAGAGGAGCTGGTGGCCGAGTTGGGGGCCTGCCGATTTATCACCGGAGCGGAGGGAGCTGAGCAGGAACAGAGGAAAGAACAAGAGCACGTGAGGAGCTGGGAGTGTGGGCGTGGGGGCTGGGGCAGAGCGGCCTTCACTGGGCGCGCACGGGTGGGTCTGAGTCCATCTGCTGTGAGCTGATCAGTTCCTTCTGCCCATCGCAGTGGCCACACCTCTGTACCTGAAGTTCAAAGCTAGCCCTGGAAGAAAGATCCATGAGACTGTCTCTGATTTAACTGGCAAAATACTGGACTGGAGGTGTGGCTCAGGTGGTAGAGTATCAGCCAAACAAGCAAGCTGAGTGAGCACAGAGTCCTGAGTTCAAGCCCCAAAACCGGGAGAAAAAGTAGTGTCATGTCCTCACCCCCAGAGTCTCTGTCACACACAATCAGGAAGCAAGAAGACACATTTCCCTTTGTCTTCCCTCTTCTACGTAGCACCTCCCTTCACCCCAGGCTTTTAAGAAGTCGAGAACTGATCAGAGCCGCCCAGGAGCTGGGCGGAGGAGGAAACCAGGATTTTTTTTTTTTTTTTGTTGGTTGTGGGTCTTGAACTCTGGGCCTGGGCGCTGTCCCTCAACTCTGCAGCTCAAGGCAGGCGCTCTACCACTTGAGCCACAGCGCCACTTCTGGTTTTCTGGTGGTTCACTGGAGATAAGAGTCTCATGGACTTTCCTGTTCAGGCTGGCTTTGAACCGTGATCCTCAGATCTCGGCCTCCTGAGTAGCTAGGATGACAGGTGTGAGCCACCAGTGATTGGTGAAACCAGGAATTCTTGTTCAAAAAGCAAAGATTCAGTTATGTAACATGAGTAAGATGCCCAGGGTTCATAGTATGGTGTTTTGAACTTTAAGAGATGTGAGAGGACACAGTCTCTCTATCTCTCCTCTTCCCTCCCCCCTTCTTTCTCCCCTTTCCCCCTCCTCCTCCCTCTCTCTCAGAGGACACAGGGGAGAGTCCTACCTGGAATGGCATTCATTGACCCCATCAGTTGCTCCACCTCAGTGAAGTCCAAGGTCTGGTCTTCAAAGTCGGGTTGTGCAGAGATCTCCACATCGGTCTGTGTTTTCAGGAAGTTCCCCAGTCTGTAGGTTCACAGAGGTACTAGGTGTGCCTGGGACTCCTCCTCTCCCGCCCAGGCTCAGGCTGGACTGCAATCCACCTACTTTAGGCTTCCCTTCCTAGCTGTGGTGTCAGGGTTTCCCATGCCCAGCTCTCTGTTGAGAGGGGGTCTGGTGACCTTTCCTGCTCAGGCTGGCCTCTACCCCAAATCTTCTCTATCTCAGCTGGGATCACAGACATGAGCTACAGGTGCCTGGCTATTTGTCTTTCTCTCTCTGTCTCTCTCCCTTCCTTCCTTCCTTCCTTGTCATTGGTCATGGGGCTTGAACTCAGGGCCTAGGCACTGTCCCTGAACCCTTTTGTTCAAGTCTACTGCTCTACCACTTTGAGTCACAGTGCTATTTCTGGTGGTTATTGGAGATAAGAATCTGATAAACTTTTCCTGCCTGGGCTGGCTGTGAACCACAATTCTCAGATCTTAGCTTCCTGGCAGCTAAGGATTGCAGGCCTGAGCCACTGGCACCTGACTAGTGTGTTTTCTTGATGATAGTCCGTTTAATGGAAAGAGAGGAGAGTTTCAGTGTACCACCCCTTCCTATGTTTTCTGTGCTAGGATTACAGATGTGAACTGCCATGCAGGCTTGGTAGGCTCGTTAAGTTTTGCCTCAAGTCACAGGCCTATCTCTGCCTCTCAGGTTGCTGGGGTTACAGGTGGCTGTGAGTGTGTATTACTGTGCTTGGTAATAATTCCAATTTGTATTTCCTTTAGGGGCTAAGGATGTTCAACAGTTTTTCAAGTATCTATTGACCCTTTGCCCATCTTTTAAGAATGGTCTGTTCATTCATACAGAGCTCTGGGTCTTCTTGTACCTTTTTCTTGGCAGTCACAAGGTTCTATGTGGCAAAGGCAGAATCTGAAATCGATCTGATGTTACATTATCAAGTCTCTGTGTTCACATTGCTTTACAGACACTGTCTTACTAGGGATTCACAACTGGTTAGTAAATGCACTGGTGAACCTGCTGAGGGTGGCAGGCTTGAACTCCCAGCTGTCTGACTATAAACCTGCTTTTTCAGCTGCCGGTCTGGGGCCTAGAGCAGCCGGGAGAGGCAGGAGCTTCCTCCAGACCCCTCCTCCCAGTGGAGGGGGGCTTGAAGATACCCACCCACAGCACGCCCCCTTCTGCCCTGAGACTCTGAGAGTCAGCTCTGGAGGGGGCCTGGGCCTAGCGCTGTCACCCCAGTGCTAAGCTGCTCATGGGACAGACTCCAGGGCTGAGGGCAGTGGAGTTACCTGTCAGCCATGGCCACCGCGTCCTGGGGAACACAGAAGGAAAACAGTGAGTCAGTGTGGGAAGGGACTTTTCTTTCCCAAACAGATGATAACATGAACATGCTTAAAAACTAGGAAACAAACACACAAACCAGCTGTCCACACCCTCACAAAGCCAGCCACTGAGTGTGACCTTTGTTTTGTTTTTGTCGGTCATGGGGCTTGAACTCTGGGCCTGGGCACTATTCCTCAGCTCTTCAGCTCAAGGCAAGTGCTCAACCACTTGAGACATAGCAACACTTCCAGTTTTCTGGTAGTTTATTGGAGATAAGAGTCTCATGGATGGGCTGGGAAGGTGACTCAGTGGTAGAGCGCTTGCTTTGCATGCCTGAGGCCCTGGGTTCGACTCCTCAGCACCACATAAGCAAAAAGAAAAAAAAAAGCCGGAAGTTGAGCTTTGGATCCAGTGGTAAAGCGCTAGCCTTGAGCTGAAGAGCTGAGGGATAGCGCCCAGGCCCAGAGTTCAGGCCCCACAACTGCCCCCCCCCCCCCAAAAAAAAGAGTCTCACGAACTTTCCTGCCCAGGCTGGCTTTGAACCGCAATCCTCAGATCTCAGCCTCCTGAGTAGATAGGATTACAGACTTGAGCTACCGGCATCTGACCCGAGTGTGTCCTTTGGACCACTGACTGAAAGATTACAGGGTTCACTGACTGGAGACGGCGCTGGTTAGGTGATGGGTCACCCGCTGCTGACAGCCCACGTGTGCCTGGCTTTCCCAGGGTGGGCAGTGGTGAGAGGAAACCTCTGTGTGTGTCAGGAAGCACCTGTGTGTGCCACTGTTCGTGTCCCAGGCTGTGTCTGAGACAGTGGCACAGGGATTGTGGACTCAGAAGCATGGGTGTCAACGGCTCCCCTGGGCCTGACAGACACTCTCCAGAGTAGTCACCCCAAACCCAGCAGGAAGGAGGTGGAGCTGGGCTTTGGGGGAAATCCCTGAGGTTCCTGAGAGCGCAGTGGCGGCTGGCGTGCGTGAGCCGCGTCTGAGCTGGCGTGGCCGCTCTCGGTGCAGGCGGACAGCCACAGCTTCCCACTGGAGAGCGTGAGGGAGTCACAGGGACACAGACCACCGTCGCCAGTTTCAGTGCCTAGTTAGCAAGTGTGAGGCCCTGAGTTCAAACCCCAGTAACACCCCAAACAACAAAACACGAGGCCCGTGGGGCACCTCCGGCTCCTCTCTCCCCTTTCTGTGTCTGTGCTGTGTTTCTGACCTTTAAGAAGTTGGCCTTGTCCTGGTGACACACCTCCTCGATCGCCTCCATCAGCTCTTTGCAGGTCTCCAGGCTTTCTCCGCAGTTGACCAGCTGTCCGTACAGGGCCTCCAGCTTCTCTTTCTTTCTCTCCCCGAGAGCCTGTATGTTTTCCTCATAGTTTTGGGCAAGCGTTTCCAAGATCTCGTTGTAATGTGACTCGAAGTTTTGCTCCTGTCTTCCGAAGTTCTCCTGAAAGACAGCCGGCCTCAGTCAGGGCCTCCGTGCCCGGGTGCGGTGGCAGTCACTGAGGCGTCACCAGCCGGCCTCAGTCGGGAGTGTGGACAGTGCGGTCCCTGCCCAGGGCACCTGTGCAGAATGCGGTGACCTGCGTGTGTGCGTGTGCATCTGCCTGGGGGCAGTGGGAGGGCCGAGGCTGCGGAGGAGAGCGGGCAGCGGGGCAGTGCTGTGTGTGAGAAAGCACGTCCACTAAGGCGTGCCAAACGAACACGCTCACCTCCACCGTGACGAAAACCTCCTCCAGGTGGCTTGCGAAGTTCTCCATGTCGATGATCTGCTGTTCCAGGCGGTACATGTTCCTGTGGATCTCATCCTGCCAGCAGAGCATCACCAAGGAGGTGTTAATGCTGCCTTGGTCTTGTCTATCCCCAAGGTCTACTTCACGCACACACACACGCACACGCCTGTGTGCGCGCACACACGCACACGCACGCACGCACGGAGCTCCTACCCTGGCGCTCTCCAGCGCCTTGTCCAGCGGGGTCACGTGGTGGTCCCTGTGTGCTGTCGAGTCCCTCTCGGCAGCCCTGAGCGGAGTCTTGCAGGTGACACAGAAGACGTCTGCGGCTTCCTCCTCATCCTCCTCCTCCGGGATGACGTAGCACTCGTACTCCTCGCTGGCGCGGCCGTGTGTGTACCGGTAGGCTTCCCGTGCGTCCTGGCACTGGCCTGCGGAGCCCCAGCCTCCATAGCCTGGCTCCTCGGCCTCTCCACTAAGCCCGAGGTCTCTCAGCACCCCATAGGGGGAGTACCCGGGAACCTCCATTCTGTCTTCATCGACTACCTCGTCCCCTAGGTCATGGTCATCTTCGAGGCCATATAACTGGACAAGCTCACCCACTTGCCCCTGAAGGTCTCCTCGCACCTTTGCTTCCCCTGCCCCTCCCGGCTCACTGCCCACTTCAGCTTGGCCTACTTCTCTCCTAATGCTTGTGTTTTCTTCCAGAAGGATGTGTTGTCGGTCGTCAGAGTCATACAGGTCCATGTGGTAAAAGCTGAAGTCACTGGAGACTGCAGGCCTGTCCAGCCCAGGCTCCTCCTCAGCTTCCTCGTCCATGGCGATTCAGGGAGCCCTGGGATGCTGGGGTGTGCACAACAGCTCCCTCCCCAAGGATTAAGGGGGATATGCTGGGTCCTAGGGTTTGCAAAGAGCAAAGGCCTCAGCGCCCAAGCACACAGCCAGTATAGAAGATGGCCACGAGAGCCAGCACCACTCCAGAACAGGTTTAGATCATGGCCAGCTCAGGGTGTTTTCACTGAACCGCTTGAGAGAGTGGGGTAGTTAGCGGGAGGTGATGATATAGGAAAAATCCCAGCACTTGGGAGGCTGAGGCAGGAGGCTAGTACGTTCAAGACCAGCTTGGGCTACATACTGAGACTGTCTCTTAAAAAAGTTTTTAAAGGGCTGGGAAGGTGGCTCAGTGGTAGAGCACTTGCCTTGCATGCCTAAAGCCCTGGGTTCAATTCCTCAGCACCACATAAACAAAAAGAAAAAAAAAGCCAGAAGTGGCACTGTGGCTCAAGTGGTAGAGTGCTAGCCTTGAGCTGAAGAGCTGAGGGACAGC